CACACACACACACACACACACACACACACACACACACACACACACACACACTCTACCGGGTCTGGGTGCTGAAACTTTCCGAAATCACAAAAGATTTCCCCTACCGCATCTGTATACTTCGTGACTTTGTTCCCGGCACAGAATTCTACACTTATAGAACGGGCACTGTACCACGTGACCTGTGAGGAATTGAAGACCGAAAACAGTGGCGTCTTGAGGGCAAGATTTATCGATTTCGGAAGTAACCCTATAGCTTTTAAAGCCTGAGCGGCTTTTACAAACGAGTGAAAAGTGGAACATTTACTGTCCAGTTTATAATTTTGAGTTTCAAAATTCACTGTGCAACCTGGAGATTGGAATTGTGGTTTTAAATTGTTGTGTTTTTGGGTGCAACAACAGAAAAAGCAGACATAGAGAGTTTATACAAGATCTACAGAACTTCGAAAAAATTCGTAACACGAATGGGATGGTTCACAGCACTTCTAGCTTCCCACACACATTTTGCATACGCATATATTATGGTCTACGTCATTTTTTAGTAGCAAAACTTGTTACAAGAAATTGGTTTTACACAGAACATATTTTTTCACTTGATGTAATTAATGTTCTCAAAACATGCGTTCAATAATTGCTTTATGTCGCCAGCAGAAGTAGAAAAAAAAGACGGACTTGCTTTTAAAAGAGATTTAGCTCCAGCTGTAAACTTTTTAAAATCTGTAGAAACCATTGACTGGGATTAAAAAAAAATATTGGGCTAGTATTTATTAAAGAATTTTCTTTAAAGAAATGTCTAGAAAAATATAGAACTTTTGTGTATAAATGTTTGAAAAAATACTCATCTGTTAAGACGAATTGATACATCTAAATCATTGTGCAAAAGTAGGAGAATCTAGATCTAGATGTTCGATAGTTCAGTAGCCTAGATATTTGATAATAAGTTGCGAGACAAATTTTTGACCGCACGCTACAGTAGTAGAGATAGCGTATTATTTTCATCCGAAACATTAATTTCCGCATGCATACACCTTTTTGGGCCTTTATAAGCACATGTAGTCCTACTTTAATTATGTTACTTTCATAATTGTTTTTGAAAGCATTTTCAATTCCTTTCACTTCCTACGCGTGGGTGCACATAATTATGATACAATTTAAGATTCCAGATCTGACGAATGTATCTATTAAATAGCGTATAATGCTGGGTTAGCCAATGCATTGTGCAATGCGCGCTATTATAAATTATTGAATTGTAACAGGACTTCAATTTAATCCGTAACAAGAGATCACTTATTTTTTTATACATGTTCATGAATGTGTGTTTGTTTACAGTGTGCGGGGATTAAAAATTAAAGATTAAAGATTCCAGATCTGACGAATGTATTTATAAAATGGAAGAGGCTATCCGTACTTAATGACGGCTAGACTGGCAGTCTAGCCGTACTTATTCTTAATATGATAGCTAGACTGACTATTAAAAAAAAATAAGCCTACTGAATTGTAAATACATTTTTAGTGTGCAGTACCTAAAGTATTTGTATTTGAGATGAAACCAGGTGCCTTAATGACAGTGCATGTATTTTAAACCTCCTGTTTTCTAATGTTAATAGGGCCTAAGATAAGTACGGCTAGACTGGCAGTATAGCCGTACTTAGTACGGCTAGACTTCTTGGCTAGCCGTACTTAAGTACAGGTAGACAGCCAGGCTAGCCGTACGTAATATTGATGGCTGAATTTTAAATGAAATTTTTAGTTTGCAATGCCTAAAGTATTTGTATTTCTGACAAAACCAAAAGGTGCCTTACTGACTTGCATGTATTTGAACCTGAATAATTACTAGATCTAGATCTAATGAGACCTGTGTACTTAACAGGCTTGAGTCGATAGGGCCAAACCTAGATCTAAGTACGGCTAGACTCTCAGTCTAGCAGTACGGCTAGCCACTTCGTTATAAAATAGCGTAATAGTACTGGGTTAGCCGATGCCTTGCGATACACGCTTTTATCAATTAATTGAATTGTAACAGGACTTCGATTTGATCCGTAACAAGAGACCACTTATTTTTTCTTATACGTGTTCAAAAATGTGTGTTTGTGTACTGTGTGCGGGCATTAAAGATTCCAGATCTGAAGAATGTATTTATTAAATATAGCATAGGCCTATAGGGCAGGGTTGGCCAATGCATTGCAGTACACGCTTTTATCAATTACAGTGGAGTCCACTTATAACGAGTCCGGAAAAACGAGAAGTCTGTTATAAAGACACTATTCTAAAACCCCGTTTTTTTCTCTTCTTTACCTTTGTAAATAAAATACTGCTATAGCGCAATCAGACAAACATGTGAGTGGGTTATAGCGGAATATCGTTGCTGCTGTGCACTGTGCATAGGCCAATTAAACATAATTAAGAAACCTTGCCAGTTGAGAAACTTGTTGGTGATCTAGTGAAACAAAGAATGGGAGAGCCAATGTGCGTCAACAATGAAGGCCGGAGCGACTGAGTAGGGAGGGTGTGGCATGCGCAGACAAGCAGAACGCATCGCGTGATAGGCCAGTGTAAGCCTAGTATAGATTATCAAGGCCTGCCATGCCTCTCACTTCTCCGATGCGGGGAGGGAGAGGTCACAGCAATGTAATGGATGGAGCGAATTAGTGACAAGCGCAAGCTGACGGAACGCATTGCAGGATGTGGTGGGGTGGGGGGAAAACACAGAGGGCGAGTTAGCCGAGAGCCCTTTCTTTCTGATCGCCAACACCGAGCTGTCAGTCAACATCGCAAGATCTAGCGCTAGAGAAAGAAACCTGATTCGATTTTTGATCAAGTAAGATCTAAAGGTCATGTTGAAACCAAATCATCATCAGGGGAGATATCAAAAGGAAATAAACAGAACCACAAAATCATAGATTTGGCTTAATTTACAGTTTCCCTTGAATTTATTACTGGATCCCTTATAGCGAGAATCCTGCTATAACGGACATTTTGCTCCGGTCCCCTCCCTCTCGTTATAACAGGATTCCACTGTAATCGAATTGTAACAGGACTTCAATTTGATCTGTAACAAGAGACCACTTATTTTTTCTTACGTGTTCAAAAATGTGTGCGTTTATTGTGTGCGGGGATCACAGGGGGACAAGCCCATCCCCTTGACATGTGGTCCAGGACGTATGGGGATACATTTTTCTCAAAATGCACACAGCTCTGAAATCCTTGACCAGTGATCACTCGCCATGAAACTCTTTCTGTTGTGACTGTAGACACAAGTTTCTTCATTATCACTTCTGAATGAGCCTATAGATCATTCATGCATTAGAAACCACACTCTCAACACACACAAAAAATGACTTTGAACATATATTCTGGAAACATAATATGCCAGTTCCACTCTTGTTTACTTTGTTTTGCATTATTGCCTTTTATGTGTAAAATAATATTTGAGGCCTCTTCTGCATTTTTGTGTTTTTGGCAGCATGTATAATTGTCATGATATTCGATACTTATTCTCTCGAATATAGTGAAGATGTTCGATACGAGAATAAACACTTCCCTTCTAGAAGTTCTAAGGGTAGGCCGACTCCGAGAACTTTCGAACATTTTTGGGCGCGAATTCGTCGACTTCGACTCCGAATTCGAATTCAGGTCAAGATAGCAGCCAATCAAATTTGAGGAAAGGCAAGGTCAATTCGGTGGGATTCGTGTCAAGTCAAGTCGTTCTCCCTACATCCGTCGAGTCGAACACGTTGTACTGTATATGTATAGAATCCCGACGCCACGGACCGGTGCAGACAAAGGGGGCGGGGAGTGGGGAGGGGGAAGGAGCAGGGAAGAGGTCACAGAGGTCGGGATTGAGGAACGCAATGTTTTCATTGACATCAGGGGAGGGCACCAGTTTGTTTTGAAAGTTATTTGCCCCTCGTTGACAGCCGCTTTCAGGTGCGAGGATAATACTAATAATAGGCTAGTTGCACAGTGCGCTATGATGCGAGTCTCTTTTTTAAAATTCATTTTTATTTTTATTTTGTTGTTGTTGTTTTTTGGTGTTTTTTAAAATATATTTCTTTTGTTGATGCAGTTCAGTAAATTCAGTTTCCGTCCTTTAAAAAACAGAAAGCTTTTCATTCATCCTGGCAGCACTGACAAGGTCAGGGCACCTCATTCACACAAAATGGACATTAAAAAATGGACAAAATTTAAGGTTTACTCATTCAAACTCCAGTCATACCAAATCAACCGCACAAGAGAAAAGCATTTACAATTTTAAATTCTTATTTAAGAAAAGCACCATGTTGATTGTGGTGTCCTTGAGGTTAGCACGTCTCTGCGACACAAGCTCCCCAGCTTTTGAAAATAGTCTCTCAGATGAGACACTTGTGGCAGGGCAGGATAAAAATTTCATGGCTTGTTCCTGCAGCTGGGGAAAGAGTCCGCAATTTTGCTTCCACCACAGAAGTGGACTTTGTTGCCGAGGAAGCAAATCTCCTTCCAGGTGCCTGCGCAACTCAATATGTGGGTCCATGAGGGCAGAGGTAGTCGACTTCTTAACGTCTTTAATCTTGGAGTCAAAGTGCGTCCACAGCCTGTCAAAGGCACTGCTGCTGCCCTGTGCTCCTTCGCCTGTCTCTTGTTCTGGCTCCTCCTCTACCACTGCAGCTGGTCTCATTCGGCTCATCAGTCTGTCCTTGATGACTTGTGCGTTGTCAGGGTTGCGGAAGCCATGCTTCTTGAACCTGGGGTCAATGAACGTCGCTGCTGCCCATAAGAAGCGCTCTTCTGCACCGGCGAATCTTGATAGTATCCCAGATCTCAGCTGAGCCGCCAGATCACCTTTGGTTTGCCTCATGATTCTTTCTAGATTGTCTACTAAAGGAATTATCTTTGAAG